TCTTACTTTCTCTATCAGAGTGAGATGGTTAGAAGTAAGATGTTTTCTTTCTTTTTTCTTTTTTTGATGCAGAGACAAATTAGAAGTTAAAATATCGAAGACGGGGAAGATGAGAAAATTTTGTGAAGTATAAAATAAGCCTTTCAATGCTACTAAGCCCATTTTTTTTTTACACATATTAATGAATGTCTTTTAATATAATTTTATTTTAAATTAAAATCATCTAAAGCAAAAATGTTCTTTTTTTATTTATCATACTTTAGTTTCTATAAATAATGTTAATTTTAATTCCTATATTTTAGAATGTACTCTTAAGTTTCTATAATTTAAATTTATGTAAATATTAATTTAATTGAATTACCCTTAAATGTATGAATTATAGATGACTTTTAACATATATGAATTTGTTAAATATATTAGTAGTTAGCAATTTAGTCTTATTTTAATAATTGTAATTTTTTTTTACTTTGATTATATTATAATGATAAAAAAAATTAATTATAAATTATCATGAATTATATAATGATACAAAACATTTTAATATAATTATATACAAACTTGTGAGGCATTATGTGATAACTGCAATTCGCATCGAAAATTAATTTGAGGTTAGGTAGTGTAAGAGTACAAGCATGTATTAAAAATAAATAAAATCCTCCCGATCCTCACTAAAGAATGTGCTAGCTCCCCATTTTCAGGCTATTATTTATTTATTTTTAGGTGTTAAGGGTAGGTACAAGGATTATAATGAGTTTAGGATCCTTACTAAGGGCTGGTTTGAATTTTTAGAACCTTAACTTATTGGGCCTAGGACAGTCTAATAATCAAAAGTTTGTCCCTCCATGTTGGACCAATTTTATTTGCTTAGCCCATTACTATAGAAACCATATATTACTCTACTTATACTAAGGATTCTGTTATTATTTTTATCAAACATATAACATAGAACTTTATCAAATTAATTATTAATTAAATATTGTACTAACATATTTTAGTTAATAATCAGGACGAATTAAATAAACACAATTCATTTAAATGCCGAAATTCTCTTAAAATGAGTTAATCACAAAACTGTGAATAATTTCCTTTTTAAAAGATAAAATTTATTATAATAAAATTTTTATAGTCTCAACTTAATCATATAAGTAAGAATAATTTAATTTCCTTAAAAATAAGTAAAACACAAAAAAATATGATAAATTTCTTATGACAAAAAGAAAACAAATTTTTACAAATCCACTCCATTGCCCCTCGGAAGGAGGGTGTAAACATCTAATTGTCTTTTTTTTTTTAATTAGAAGAGAGATTTATTCACTTCAAGGATAAATTGTAGTAAATTTATTTCATTTAATAATTTATATTCTACATCAAATTTCAATAATTCAACTATTGAATTAAAAATTATTCATGCATATATCAAGTATGTAATTTTTTTTTTTAAAATTTAAATCATATGATTTTTTTTATATAGATCTAAATGAACACATAAAATATTTTTTTGATTATCTGTAAATTTGAATTAATGAAAAGAAGTATCAGATAGTTTTCAAATTTTTTAAAAATTTGTAAACTTGATTTATACATTAAAATTTTTTAATTCAATGATTAAATTGTTAAAATTTGATGTAAAATATGTGTTAAAATAAGTCTACCAAGACTTAAGTGGATCCCTCCTCATTATTATTTATTTATCTTTTTCTCCTTATTTCACAAATTTGTTTTTCATAAAACTCTAAACAAATTAGATAATAATATAGTTTTTTTTTCTACATTTTTTTCACTGGGTTTCTTGAACCCATTTAATAACAAAGTCTAGTTGAATACATATTACAAAAATACATATAAAAAAATTAAACTAAAACAAAAACACAAAAAACAAATAAAAATAAATAAAGTGAATCTTTCTCTACTTGCCTTGGATACCACAAATGGGACCATTGAAACCTTCTCTCTCCTTCATCTCCTCTTTTTCTGGTCGCTCTCTAGCCGTAAGGCTACGACGGTGTCATTGTGCCATTTTCGCCCAAACCTCTTCGTGATGGATTTGTGGGTTGTATTGTAGCATTGTATGTGGGCTATGGCCATTTAGCGAAGTGAAGTTCTTATTTTTATTAGCAAAAGGGCCTTTGATTTCGTGGGTTTAGGCCTTTTCGTTAAAAAATTATATATATTTTAGTATACATAAAATATAACAAAAATAAAATAAGGTATTTGATCATAAAATAATAACGTTAATGATCATTACATAATAAAATAAAATAAAAATAATGTTTCAAAACTAAATCCTAAAATTTAATATTGATAAAAATAAATATCTAAAAATGATTAATTAGATGTGATAATTTGATGTCTTTGAACTTTTTCTTTAAAATATAATTACTACATTAAAATTAAATTTCTATACCACAAAAAATAATAATAATAATAATAACCAAAAATAAAATATTTTAATAAATTGACTTTGGTATACATTATGACACTATTCTCCCCTAAATGATATAATAACAAAAATAAATAATATAACAATTAGAATCTCATAAAAAATAATAATAAATATCTTTTCGACATTTTGTAAAAGGGTTTTTAAAACATTATTTCTAACTTTATTATCGAAAAAAATAGAAAATAATGTATAAATTAAAGTTAGACACAACTTCTTATTTGAACAAAACTCTCAATAAGAAAATATAATAAAAATAGATGTCTCATAAATGCAAATAACTAGTAAGACTAAACCTTGTTCCGATGTCACACTTAGAGCTATCAAAACGGGTAACCCGGCTCGGCCCACCACGGGTTGAGCCTTTGGTGGGCCAACCCAACCCGGTTCATTTATTGGTGAGCTGAAAAAAGTTGAGCCCGGCCCGGCCCATCACGGATTGGTGGGCTAAACGGGTTGACTCACCTAATTTGAAAAAATGTAAATTATGTAATCAAAGTTGATGCTATAATCCTGTAGAAACACTATGCACATAAGTTTTTCTAGAGAAAAGTAAATAAATTCCTACACTGATTACATAATTTGAAGAAACAGAAATACATAAAATTGAGAACAGATGATGTTTGCTCACAAATGGTCTGCGAAGACCCAACTGCTACCCAGTATACAATGTGGCATTTACTAAATTAGTAGCCAGTAATACAACCATATTTGGATTACAATCACCAAAACATAATACATAACCAAACTCAGACACCCAAGTGAGCTCTTCCTGCGCTGCTATTTTTCTGGATGTGAAGAAGGCAAATTGCATGCACAATTGAACACATCAAAAACAAATAATTAAAAATCATCTCAAATTTCAAATACAACCCAAAATCATTTTCAACTTCAAATACAATCCAAAATTATAAAAATTAGAAATTACAATCTAATATTAAATCATTGTTGTCACTTGTCCATCTACAACATTAGAGTCTTGAATGGAGCAATCCAAAATATACTCATCTGTTGAAGCATCTTCTTTATCCCCATCTATAACAAAAAAAAATGATAACTAATAATGATGAAAAATTAAGTAATAAATTATTAAATTAATTTCATAATACTAATACATGTTACCTGTTAATTCAAAACCATGCAACCAATTTTGAGTTAAAATGAGTGCCTCAACATTCTCCGGAAGAATGGAAGAACGATATTTTGTTAGTACACGAGAACCAAGACTAAAGGCAGACTCACTAGCAACTGTAGTGATTGGAATGCTAAGCACGTCACAAGCCATCTTAGATAAGTTTGGATAACGATCTCGGCGATCCCTCCAATAACTCAATACATCCAACTTATCAAAAAACTTTGGGTCAAGATTCCCTTCATCTAAATAAAGATCCAATTCAGACCTTCCAGTTTCATTAATATGTTGACTCAAATAATCAACATATTCCTAAGACATTATAAGAGAATTTTAAGTCATTGACAAGTAAGAAATAAGATGTAAATAAAATAAAGAAAGTTGTGTTGGAAAATTTGAGAAATAAAAACTTACATCAAATGCATCCATCACTTGCTCATCATTTGTAAAAGAAGCAACATGTGTTGAAGGGGAAATTTGAGAACTTGAAGTATTTGACTCATTTGAATGTAATTTGACATATTCTTCAAACAACTTGTACATCTTCTCCTTTAAAATATTAATCTTTTCTTCACATGTAGAAGGATCAATCTTTGAATAACAGAACCGAATAGCTTCAAACTTCATTCGTGGATCAAGAATAGCCCCAATAGCAAGAATGTCACAATAATGATCCCAATACTTACTAAACTTGTTCATCATATTCAATGCCATATCTTTAATTGTCAGATCATCACTTTTGGCATTTTCCTGTAACAAACATTCAATTTTCCAAACTTGCATGAAGTAACGGTTAGAAGTTGGATAAGATGAACCTGAAATCAAATTAGTCATGACATAAAATGGCTTCAAGAACTCACACATTTTTTCAGCCTTTTTCCATTCATCATTTGATGGACAATGAGTTTTAATATGACTAGTCCATGATCACTTCTGCTGAGTTTTCCACCAAGGTGGCTTCGACTTGTACTAATATTAGTTCTTAGGATCCATATCCTTGGTAAGAAAGAAGGGATATTCAGACTTCTAGTCAGTCTCACTATTATAGATCAAACATTACGTACTATTTATAAACTGATATATTTAATTAAAATAACCATTTTTTATATAAACAGTTGTAAAGTAATATATGATTATTAAATAAAAATAATAATTACTAAATTTTGATTATCTACTGTTTTTTATAGGAGTATAATAATTTTGGCCATTTGGTGAGGGGTGGGGGGAATAGTTTTAAACAGGGAAACTACTACTTCACTACTCTTTTCTCTACAAACCTTTTGTCTGTTATGCTATTATTACATGAGAAATGTTAACACAGTCTTCTTTTATTTACTTATTTTCTAATTTGCAACATTTTGCAGGTCTAACGTGTTATTTAATTCTATCGCTATTTTTATAACTTTCGACAAAGGTTTAATTATGTTTTTAGTTTTCATAATTTTATAAATTTTATTTTTCAATCTTCATAATTAAAAAAGTTTTATTAATTTTTGTAGGGGTACTGGATATCCTGATCTTTGGCCATCACCTTCCTGTAGGGAGCCACTAGATGTTTCAAAGACTTTTACTTTTGATGTAGAGGTTAACAAAAACAATATGGTTCAAGATGATGACCTCACTTCCTTGCTCAAGCTTACTAGAAAAGATAATGATGAAGCTGTTCGCATACTAGCAGCAAAGGCAATTTCCAATTTATCCATGAATGATAATTATTTATTAGACATTGTATTACTTAATTTCATTTCACAGTTTTTCTTTAGGTTACTTTTGTGTAACATCTTACTATCAAATTCATGATACACTGTGGAGCCTTAGAATTTTAATATGACTAGTCCATGATCACTTCTGCTGAGTTTTCCACCAAGGTGGCTTCGACTTGTACTAATATTAGTTCTTAGGATCCATATCCTTGGTAAGAAAGAAGGGATATTCAGACTTCTAGTCAGCCACTCAGCGGCAATTATGGGTGGACATGCAGAGTGGCTGGGTTGGTTGGTTGAGTGCATTCTTCTATATTTTATACATATCTAAATATGTATCTTACACCATATCCTATATTTTCAAATAATCATATCACTATCGGACAAAATCGAATTAGATACACATGCACAAGAAATTTAACATGTGAACTTTTGATCCATTGGACTTTGTGACAAGTTTATCTTATAAGTTATTTGGTAGTGGAGCTTTGATATAACTCTTGCTCTGTTGTCAGAGAAATAACTCGTTACAAAAATTATTTGATTGGTGGTTGAATTATTAGTGTCTGTCTACATTATTATTTTTGACATTTTTCTTTCTGTATTATTTATCTTTGCTTGGCAGTGGAATCACACTTACAAAATTAGTTGGAGTTCTCGTCCTTTGCTTCTCAACATCAGAAATTTTTGTGGTATGTGACATATCACCTTGGCTCCAACACTAGATTGTCTGCTCAAGAAATGTTAAAGTAGCTTTCGGATCTTTGCAGGTGTATTACTTCCAGATGTATCTGGCTTTGGTTATCATTGGCTTCTTGCATGGTCTTGTGTTTCTACCCGTAAGTTTGTGGTGTAAAAAACTGTAGCTTTTTGTTAACGTCATTAAATAGGTTTTACTACATTTTGTGAGTTTTATTTAGCCCAACAGTTCCAAGGCCAAAAACAGCAACAATTGACCCTGCTTCCACCTTTGCAGTGTTCCAAACAGCTCCAAGGCCTAAAAAGTTAATCAAAATAATAATTGAATTGGGCATAAAATATTTTAAAAAATAAATGCAATAAAAATCCACCAATCTTGTCCAGTAGAATGCTTAGATGGAATGGAAGAGTAAGAAATAAAAATGAAAACCACAATTGTAGAAACATTGTTTTGAGAATTTAAACAAAATGGATACATGGTGAATTTTCGGTTCAGCCAAGTTTAGACAGAGTAACAAGTATCAACCAAAACTTCTATATACATCCCATAATTTATCCCCATTCCTCATATTCATTCAACAATACCCTCCATCACCTAAACCATTTGAATACATCAAGAGTCCAGAGTAAGAATTAAGTGGAGAAGAATTATTTCGTAGCATAGTATTTTCAAAAGTTGTAAACAGCCACAAAACAAACTAACTATGAACTAAAATATAAGTATAGGAAAACTGAAAAATGGAGATTGAATTGAATCCTACCCAAACAACAAACCATATAACGTTACCTAAAGCTAAAGGAGGAAAAAGTATTCGTGAGCGAAGAGCGAGTTCACTTTCTGGCGACGATGCCTGCTACTTGGAGTTCCACACAAGGCCGATGAAGACGGCGAGGGTGAAGAGCGGGTTCGAAAAGAAGCGCCTCCTGGGCTCCTGGCTCGCGGCGGCGGCGCGAACTGATGAGGGTGGGTGTGTGAGAATGAGAACTGATTAGGGTTAGGGTGGAAAAGAAACCCTAACTTTATTTGGCCCAATAGCATAAGGTTTTTTTTATGGGTTGGTGGGTCAGCCCGGCTCACCACGGGTTTAACCCGGGTGAGCCGGGTTGTTAGTGAGCCGGGTTTAAAATTGGCCCACACTGAAATTTTTAAATTTTTTTTAGCCCAACCCGGCTCGAACCCGTGGTGGGCCGGGTTGGCTCACCAGGTTGAACCCATTTTGACAGCTCTAGTCACACTAATCAGAGAAAAACCCCTTTTTAAACTTCTCCTTCGTCAAACACATCCTTTTGTATTTATTTTAGTCTTACAAGTGGCGTTCAACCTAAACACAAATATACAAACACAGGGAATGAGAATAAATATCATCTTTACACAACATATATAAGACATAAAGGTAGACATAAACACACCTATCACGCTAATAACTGTTGCGGGTTGCATCAATTGTCCCGTGGCGGAGGCTAGGTGGGCCAAGTCACTATCGAATCATGGCGCTGGGGCTGCTACGCTCTTAAGTAGAAAGAGTGGCGGCCTGACTATCTTAGCTATAGCTTTTGGCCTAGTGGTAAGCGCTCGATCCAACAATTGGTATCAGAGCCTGGTTATGAGTTTGATACCCAGCGAGGCAATTGCTGAGGGGGAGATTGTTGCGGGTTGCATCAATTGTCCCGTGGCGGAGGCTAGGTGGGCCAAGCTGAGGCTCTGCATTACCTCAGCTGGTCTTCAGGGATAATTGAAGATAAAGAAAGCTGCACTAGGCGAAGGAGCATATGAACTCGATGCTTACAAGGAAGCTAACTAGAACTCAGACTCCAAGTGGGAGAATTGTTAAGTGTGTAGTCTAAGTTCTAAAATTGAAGTAGTCCCACATTGTTTAGTTTAACTTACTTATTAAGTCCCACATCACTTAGTTTGTAATGCTTGCCTCTTCCTTATGCTATATATATAGAGGCACCTTGTAAGGTTTAAGACACACCAAAAACAAATACTCTTAGTATTGTTTATTTCTCTCTTCTATCCTTTTATTCTCTCTTTTAATGCCAGTTGCCTAACAATAACATCTCACACATATAACCATTCTTCCACACATCAATATTAACCATCATTATACATTCATTCATCATTCATAATCATCAAGTTACATAGTATAATCATTATTTAAGACTCATATAATGCATGCTTCTAACTCTATATATTTGTGGTACTAATCTCCCCATCATCATTGAGAATACAAAAATATAGCCTACGAGTCATGGAATGGAACCATCCCATCGAATAGTGTAGGGACCACCCATTTGATTTTTGTAACGTTTTGTTTTATGTTGACGTAATAAAGATCTTCAATTTTTTAAGAGTAAAAAAATTGTATCCCAATAATGAGTGCCGTAGGTGAAGGTATAAAAGAGGTACGGAATGTTGAAAGACTTAATTTAGAATATTTCCAATAAAATAAATTTAACATCAAACACACAAACATGAATTAAAACTTTTGTTACATTAACACAAGAGACAATGTTATAAAAAAAATAACAATGAAGACTAAAAAGATTAAAAATCTACAAATATAAGGACTAAAGATCTATTTTAAACTATAAGGACTAAAAAGAATTGAAAAAGATAAATATAGGGATTAAAAAAGTCTATTTTAAACTATAGAAATTAAAATATAAAGTAAGTGAAATTATAGAAATTAAAAAAAATTTAACCTAGGTCTTTTTAAATAGTTTTTTTTTGTCTTTATCATTAATTTATTTTATAATATTGTCTATTTTATGCCTTCAATTTTGTGAAGGTGAAAAAAAGGTATGTTAATAATGAAGGTGCAGATGAAGGTACGATAGATGTAGAATCCACCTAAAGACAAGGCCAACAAAGCCTTTAATGATTAGGCATGGCAACGGGATAGGAAAGAGGTAGGTTTTATGTTCCTCACCCCCTGTCCCGCTTTTGATATTTGTTGGGGTAAAATATGGGTACCCATCCCCACCTAGAGCTGTCAAAATGGGTTGTGGCCCGTGGGCCAACCTGGCCTATCTTGAAAACGAGTCAGGCTGGCAAAAAAAAATGTAAGTTTTATAGTAGGTGGGTATATTTTAACCCGGTCCACTTTCACTCGACCCACCCGGGTTGAACCTGTGGTGGGCCAAGTAGCCCACTAGCCCACCAATTTTTTTTTGCAATGGAAATTTAAGTATGATGGGATATTAAAATTTTTATTTTCGACTTTTATCATGATTTGTATTTAATTTTGTATGATGAGTTATGACTTATGACTATTAATGATGCTAATTTTATGACTATTATGTTAATTTATAATTAATTTAAAATTTTGAATTTTGTTGATATTTTTTTTTTAATTTTTGGTGGGCTAGTGGGCTGGCCCGTATAACCCACCAACCCGTTATGGGCCGGGCTGGGCCAAATTTTTTTTGAAAAAATAAAAAGTGGACCTGATTGGGTTGAC